GCCGGCTGGTCCTCGCCGTCCACCTTTGTCAGGTTCTACAACCTAGACGTCCCTGCTTTGCAGGCTCAGGTCCTTTCTGCTTAACTGTCTCTTTGAGCTCAAAACGCTCCAGGAACCATATCCCCGCCCTAAGGCTGGATTTAATCCTTGCTGGGTTTGACTATGTCTCAAACCCACTGAAGTTCCCACGTCTGGGCTTAGCTTCCGGCACGCTCTCGGCCCTATCTAGTTCCGAGGCTGTGCGAAGTTCTAAGAACAATTATGTAAGGCCGGGCTCGACCTCTATGAGTTAGCCCATTTCTTTGCCTCCTCTTGACCCTGAAAAGAATCCGGGTCTCTGGCTATGGCCTGCTCCATTGTAGTTGATCTACAGGGCCCCCTTCTGGACGCCCTGGACAATTACTTATAAGTCGTTCATCTACTATAGCACGGTGTGATTGAATAGGTTCCCATAGCGTCTAGCGACACAGTACGAAGTGAAGTATCGAAAGGGAACGTACTCGGTTACTAACGTAACCTCGGTTCCCTGAGATACCGGAACGAGTACTGCGTAGCTAGCCGTGCTATGATGCTGCACGACTCTGTCGTCGCTTCAGTCGATATGAATCAGTGATCCTATGCCGAGCACCTGCTTATATAGCCAGATGCCCCGCCCATTTTGGCGGGCTCGGGCGCGCTGCTTCGCCATAGACTCGCACAGCTCTGCTGCACTGTCATTGGTTCATTTCTGAAACAATGATTGAAAAAAAGGCTTCAGTAAATCGGAAAAAAGGAGTTTCCCGTAGTGTCTAGTGTCTAGTGTCTAGTGTCTAATCTCAGGGAACCGAGGTTACGTTAATAACCGAGTATGTTCCCCTCAGACATACATTCATATAAACTCCTACCCCTAACTGAATCGTGATTTATTTATCATCTCAACCAATTTGAATCGTCACATATTTGAATCGATTTACAACCGGCTCGCGGTTAATCGTTACATCCCTAGTTATCATTGTCTTTTAAATGCAAATTTAACCTTAACATTTCAGAAAACTGGTAATAAAAAAACTATTTGTCAACTGGTAATGCAAGTATTGTGATTTCTATTATTAATATGTCTACAATATCCACCTGTAGTGTCTTGGTTAAAATGACTTTCACAGACCTTTCGAGCAGCGTCTTCGATGGATGCTCTCCTGCATGAGGAGTTCACTGAGAGCTTCTCCTCGATGGAGGTATCAAACGCACATGACGGAACACAGACGTGCCTCTTCCTGGGCGAGGCCTGGAGCGTCGCCAGCAAACCCGCTCCTCGACTGTCAAACGGTGCGACCTGAAGACACAGCGTAACATGGTTATTTCACACGCATTCAAGCCTTCTGTCTAAACTAAGAGTTAAACTCTGAAGGCGGTGACCTCAGCAGTCAGGAAAGTGTGCAGCGTCTGCAGGAGGCTGGAGCTCGAGCTGAAGTCCACTAGCTGTGCGTCTTCAATCCAGAAGTGTAATAGATCCAGAGTGCGCTGATAGACTTTGGCTCTGTCTGATGAGGGATCTTCATTTGCTCTGCAGTTTCACAGTTAATGGAGAATATAATTAAATTTCATCTCATTTCACTTCTTAGGGATGATTATTTAATCAGTGATTGACTGTGGATGATTGACACTTATCTGTCTCTCTTATTGACACTGTCTGTCTCTCATCTATCTGTCTGTCTGTCTATCTATCTATCTATCTATCTATCTATCTATCTATCTATCTATCTATCTATCTATCTATCTATCTATCTGTCTGTCTGTCTGTCTGTCTGTCTATCTCTATCTGTCCTTCTATCTATCTATCTATCTATCTATCTATCTATCTATCTATCTATCTATCTATCTATCTATCTATCTATCTATCTATCTATCTATCTATCTGTCTATCTATCTATCTATCTATCTATCTGTCTGTCTGTCTGTCTGTCTGTCTATCTCTATCTGTCCTTCTATCTATCTATCTATCTATCTATCTATCTATCTATCTATCTATCTATCTATCTATCTATCTATCTATCTATCTATCTCTATCTGTCCTTCTATCTATCTATCTGTCCGTCCAGCTGTCCTTCTATCTGTCCTTCTAACTATTTGTCCTATCTATCTATATATCTGTCTGTCTGTCTATCTCTATCTGTCCTTCTATCTATCTATCTATCTATCTATCTATCTATCTATCTATCTATCTATCTGTCTGTCTGTCTGTCTGTCTGTCTGTCTGTCTGTCTGTGTTGACCAGTGTAACTTTTCTAGTTTAATCTGTCACAGTTCTCAGATTTATTTCATTCGTACCCCATTGTACTGTTAAATTTGTCCATTAGAAACCGCAGAAGCTCCTCCGAGGTGCAGAAGTAGCGATACGTGTAGAAAAACTGCTGAACAAATCCTTCGGCGTGAGCGTTCCTATCAGCGTCAGAACAGACGTGTGTGACGAGGGTTACAGTACCAGCAGCTACAGTCATTCCCGTGCATGCATACACACTCAGTACCTGGCGTACAGATAGGCCATGAGGCCTCTGGCGGTGGCGGTCACTAGCGGGCAGCCTTTGCCCCGGCGCTGATCACACAGAAAGTGCAGAAGCGCAGGATCGTCCGAGTGCTGCAGCTCCAGAGGCGCAGCTCCACACGCAGCCAGAGAGGGCAGCAGAGAGCGCGCTAAACCCCACTGATCCACAGACAGCACCTACAACACATCACAAAACACCTGCGTTACGCATTAAACCAAACAACACTGGTGTTCAAACTGGGGAAATCACCACGCATGCCCTCAAATTACTTATTGCTTACCTGTATATAAAATGCTTGAGACAACAACAATAAGACAAAGACACTAATAAGTAATAATTCATTTGATCAATAACTAATAACACATTTTACATGTATTTACTTGGCATATATGCTTTTATTTTAAGTGGCTTACAGCGTATTTAAGGTGCACAGTGTTGAAAATCAATCCCATGACCTTGGAGATTTTAGAAACTTCTAAATACTGGATAAATACTAAGAGTTATGACGTGAAATCTGATTGGATAAGCCAACTTCAAAGCCAGGGTAGAATAGAATAGTTTAATTGTTGAAATAACTGTTTATTGCAATTATTCTGTTGTTGTTGTTATAATTAAAAGATTATTGTTATTTTGTTATTTATAATAAATTAGACAGATCATTATTATGATCATTATTATTATTATTATTATTATTATTATTATTATTATTATTATTATTATTATTATTATTATTATCAAATTTAATATAAATGAATAATAATAATCCATTATTACTACTACTACTAATTATTATTATTAATTGATTGTTATTAATTTACAACAAATTATATGGATTATTATTATTAATATTTATTATTATTATTATTATTATTATCTAATTTATTATAAATTATTATTAATATATTATTATTTTTATTTAATTCATAATAAACTAGATTACCATTAATAATCTATTATTATTATTATTATTATTTTAAATTTATAATAAATGAGATATATTACCATTATTATCTAATTTATTATAAATATATAACAATAATATTCTATTATTATTATTATTAAAATATTATTGTTATTACTATTCATTCAGAATAATATTATTATTAGACAGATTATTATTATTGTATAATATATAAAGTATTATGATTATTATTTTATTTATTTATAATAAATTAAATAGATTAACATGATTACACAATTTGTTGTAAATTGATAATGATATGATAATTATTATTATTAAATACTATTATTTAACAATTAAATTATTTACAATGGCTTGAATTTGGCTCATCCAAACAGATTTCACTTCACAGTCAGATCTCAAGTTCTTATTATTTAGAAGTACATTATATTATTATTATTATTATATTAGATGTTCCTGACAATATCAAGGTCATGGGTTCCCATGGTTTCCAGTGCTCTGATAAATGTAAACCTGATCACACTGCAAGATGCTCAAGATAAAAGTGTCTTTGCAAAGTAAATAAATGTAAACGTAGAATATGAATGCTTAGGAATGTCTTTAAACCCACAGCAGAGGAAATGCAGCGTGTGCTTGGACACAAACCTGGAGATATTTCTTGACGGTCTGCAGAAACTCAACTTTGGCTCTGAGCTCGTCCAACTGCTGCTTGACTTTAGACACCATCACCTTCATGTCTGAACCTACAAAGACAGACGAGCAGCTCACACACACACACATCTGACGAACGAGGAACAGCTGCACTGCAGAACTAACGCACAGCCGTCAGACTTTCTATTGTAGCAGAAGTACCTTTATTTTTCCTCTCTTGCTCTATCAGCTTGTGGTAGAAAGTTCTGGTGTTTTTCAGATTTCTGCTCTCAATAATCAGCTGTTGGTGCAGCTCCTGTTCAAGAGCAAAGATAAGAAAAGATCAATAAATGGATCTCGATGCCCAGCTGAACTCTGGAAATGCATGCAACTAACCATGCGTTGCATTCACAGACAACACAACGCAGGATTTAACCAGTTTCCCTGCTGACCTCACCATGAATCCACCTGATTAATCGTCTAGACCAGCTTAGACAAGTGTTATTTTAGTATTAATGAGATCCCATTATAGTTTTTATTAAAAAAAAAAAATAAATAAATTAAATAATAATGTTTATTCATGCTTTTGTTTTTATTTTTACATTTTATGTTTTAATAGTAATTTAAAAGTTGTATTAAATTAGTTTTAGTCATTTTTAGCAGTTTATATATATATATACTGTATATATGTGTGTGTGTGTGTGTGTGTGTGTGTCTATATAGTTTTTATTATTTATTTTATATAATTTTAGTGATTTCAGTACATCAAGTTCTACTACATAAGTTAAACAAAATTAAAATTAGAAATTTTGCCTTGGTAACTATCTGAAATAAAAAGCTTTTATATATAACAGATTGCACTATATTTTATGTATAATAATTTTCCATTCTTAACTCTTTTAAATTAATTTAAACTTCTTAAATCAATTTAATTCAATTCAATTTAAATTCCTTGTTTTATTGTTGTGATTTTTTATTATTATTTTCTATTCTTTTATGTACAGCACTTTGAATTACCATTGTGTATGAAATGTGCTTTATAAATACACTTGCCTTGCCTTGCCTATAATAATGATAAAAATAATAATTATATAAATATATATAAAAAATATACATATTTTGTAACTTTTTTTTCAGTTTCAGTTTTAGCTAACTAAAATAACCCTGGATTAACTAAAATAACCCTGGATTAACTAGAATAGCCCTGGATAAATGACGGCTTGAAGAAACCATGTAAATCCACCTTCTATCAGAAGCTGGTTTTAGCTGCATTATCTAGAAAGATGGGCTTTTCGGAACCAGAATGATCTTGATTTGTGTCTAGGATAAACTGTAAGGCTTTGTGTGATTGGACTCAATGTGATGAAGAGGATGAAGATGATTGGTGTGTAAATTGCCTTTAAAAAACTTGGGGTCGATAAAATTTGTAATGTAAAGAAGTCTCTTCTGCACATTAAGGCTGCATTTATTTGATCAAAAGCACAGTAAAAATTGTGAAATATTATTAGAATGTAAAACAGCTGTTTTCTATGTGAATCTCTGTTAAACTGTAATGTATTTCTGTGATGCTCAGCTGTATTTTCAGCATCATTCCTCCAGTCTTCAGTGTCACATGATCTTCAGAAATCAGTATAATATGCTGATTTATTAGAAACATTTCTGATTATTATCAGTCGTGCCGCACAATATCTTTGTGGAAACCGTGATGCATTTTATTTTTCAGGATTCTTCGATGAAGAGAAATTCATTTATTTGAAATAGAAATCTTTTATAACATTATAACTGCCTTTACTGTCACTTTCGATCACTTTAATGCTTCCTTGCAGAATATAGTATCTTACTGACCCCAAACTTTTAAAGAGTAGTGCATATGATCAGGATGAAGACGCTGCGATCTGAACTATCTGTATTTCTCTCTATGGTAACAGACATCAATGGTCAGCGCTTTGAAGTCCGACTGCAGCTCTGTTCCTCCCGTAGAGCTCCCGCGTCTGACCCCCGCTCATAAAAACAGCCCTCAAACGCCATCAAAGCACACACTGAGCACTCATATTCTGCTATAAATATTAGATAGTATCACATAAATATCCAATACTACACTTGAACCCAGTCAAAATGCACATTGTCCATATTCTGTTCCTGGTTCTGAATGTTTGATGCATGTGGCTCATTCAAAGCATGAATGATGGAAGCTCTTCATCCACTAAAGCTCTTCCGATGAAAATGAAGGTTGTTTAGGATACTGTACCTGGAGAAATTCTGGCTGCATGAAATGTGGGTCCTTTCAGTACAGTTAGCATTAAATGAACACCGGAAATCAGCATTAGGACAAGAACAGAACAGACAAAGAGCAAAGACACGACAACTCGGGAGAAAGAAAAAAAATTCAGCCCAAAATCTAAAGAAATAAATAGGAAATTATATTGCATAAAAAAAATTAACATTTATTTTTTGATAATTAAAATGTTTTGCATTGTGTCATTTTTTCCATGCAATTATTTTCATATATTTTCATGTGACAATTTCATCCCCAAACATAATAAAATAAAATTAAAAATTAAAAAACATAAATGTATTTTATTTCAGCATTTCTTTAGTTTAGTTTAACTTGCTGTACTAAAATAACTAAAACGAAATAAACTAAAACTAATAAATACAATTTGATAAAAACTATATAGACATTAATGAAAAAAAATTGAAAATAAAAAAACAAAAATTTGAACGTACATTAAAGGGAAAATATTAAAATAAAATCGAATTTAAAATATTAACAAAAACTACAATAGTATCTCAATGGAATTAAAATAACCGATAAGTGATATATTATGTAAATGGTAAAGTATTTATATTTTATTTATGCGCTATTGTACTGCTTTTAATATTTGTCTAATTGTTTAAAAATATCATTTAACAGTAAAATATACCACGGGAATAAAACAGAATCACCACTGAGAATAAAAGTAATTACAAAGAAACAAAACACAAAACTGAGAATTGTGGTGAAAATGTGTTAAATTGTTATGAAAACCCCATAATCTCAATGGTTCAAAGAGCATGCTTCGTTTTATGAAAGATATGCTTTCTTATGTTTTTTCTTTATATGTTGGGGGTAAAATATGACCCATACATGTAAAGATTTGGAGCGCTGTGTTCAAAATGAATCCATTCGCAACATGTATGAACCCACCTGTGATTTGTCCTCCAGCGTGGGAGATTCGCTGTGACTGCTGAGTGTCTGTGTGTACTCCAGCACATCCGGACTGAAGCAGTCGTCTCCGTACAGAGCCAGGGCCCAGGAGGAGCCACGCGGGGCCCGCTGAGGGTCGCTGCAGACCGAGAGCGTCCGCTCAGAGATCAGAGAGTTACAGTCGTCCATGTCCAGCTCGGAGGAGTCGGGAGAGAGCCGAGCGCCGCCGCCGCCGTCCTCCAGCGCTTCAGCATCACAAACACCACCGTCTGGAGGAGCACCGCTCAGCAGCTCCATCAGCTCATTCAGCTCTACCACACACACAAGCAGTCGTCTCCGTACAGAGCCAGGGCCCAGGAGGAGCCACGCGGGGCCCGCTGAGGGTCGCTGCAGACCGAGAGCGTCCGCTCAGAGATCAGAGAGTTACAGTCGTCCATGTCCAGCTCGGAGGAGTCGGGAGAGAGCCGAGCGCCGCCGCCGCCGTCCTCCAGCGCTTCAGCATCACAAACACCACCGTCTGGAGGAACACCGCTCAGCAGCTCCATCAGCTCATTCAGCTCTACCACACACAGAGAGAGAGAGAGAGAGAGAGAGAGAGAGAGAGATGCTCTCACCAAACCTGTCAAGATCATATTTCACCCCAAAATCAACACCATTTTCATTAGAATTAATTTGCACTGTGACTTTTGCATTGGGATTATATTCAAAATAATTTCACACATATCTATCTATCTATCTATCTATCTATCTATCTATCTATCTATCTATC